CTGGAACACTACGTTAAAAAGCAAAAGCACTAACCAGTGTGGCATGCCGACTCCAAGGATACAAGAAACTTAAACATGTTATTGATTCTTCAACATTATATTCAGAGAGTGAGTATTAGAGCAAAGAGCCAAATCAATACGGTATGTTTTCTTATAATGCAGAAGCTGTGTTCACGCAACGGTTTTGAAAGGACAGTAATGGAAGGTTATAATTCCTAGCCTGTTTTATGTAAAGTTAAGTGGTACTTGTCTAAAGCAAATCAAATAATTTAATGTCTATGAAGTATATTCTTGGAGCCCTGCGGAAGAGATCTGGAATTTCAAATAAGATACAAAAGGGTCAGTGCACCTATTTATACAAACTGGCGCCATTATTACGACATCCAAGCATGCGTATGCTCAAAAACAACAACACAGTGCCAAACTTGGACATTATCAAAGGCTAAACTATGTACAATTAACACAGATGAGATGAGATTCCAGTGGAAAACCGCCAACCTAACCAACCATTGTCCTGCTGTGACATTTATACCACATAGAGTTCGCAATCTATTCCTCCATCCAGCTATGTCCTGTACGATCAATTCAATATCACAGATGGAATCCAGTCCAGCATTTTTGGTCCCTCTCATCAACGTCTTTTGGCGTCATTGCCTCCTCAATCCCTTTATTTCCCATGTCAGTGTTTCTGTGTGTGTTTGTGTGTGTGTGTGTGTGTGTGTGTATGTGTGTGTGTAGCTCGTTTCTTATTACAATGTGTTCAGTACAGCACCATTTTCTTTGTCTGATAACTGTTGATACTAGTGGTTGCCCAGACATTTCTTTTATTTCTTCATCACTTTTGAATTCATTTCATTTTATGTTCATCGTTTTCCACATGTTCTCGAATGCATTTAACTTTCGTTTCCATGTCTTTAATTGTTCTCCAGCTGTCACTGCAACTAGAAAATCGAACTGGGTTTCTGTAATGTAGGTATACAGAAGAATAGGTTATATTTCGCGGAAACATAACATAACATAACATAACCCTTGACCCGTTGATGGAATCACTAGCACATAAAACCCGCCATCGTTCTTTGTTTTCCGCTTGATGAATAAGTGTATGATAACTTAGTCCTGTCCATTTCTTGATGATGTCATTCCAGATTCTTCTTTGCCCTCCTCTTCTTCTACTACTCCTACTCTCCCCCCCCCCCCCCCACCCTCCCCAGTGTTCCCCACCCCTCACCACGTATGGGACGTCGCCCCCCCCCCCAGTGTTCGTTGAAGCACACACAGTCTTTGCAATCGAATAGGGATCTGTACTACACCACGTGCCCAAACCAAGCTAGTTTGCAACGTTTCACCACTGCCAAGAGAAGCTCCTGATGTCAAGCAAATTGGTATATTTTATCTCTGACATATTTTTTAGTTTTGTGTTTTAAATAACTAATTCGTAAAATACGTCTGTAGCATTTACATTCAAAAGCCTGAATCACCATAGAAACAAACACAGTCAAATCCAGAGGTTCTGGAAAAGACTACAAATGAAACGTACATTTGTGCAGGCTTGATAAATTTATGTGAGGTGAGGAGTGGATCTAAGTGCAAGGTTCTTATCACTTTGGATCGTGAGTGCAGAGATTGGCCAGCTGGTGCTGCAGAATTAGAAGTTCAACAAATGATTCATGACAATTCCCGCCTAAGTGATGTGATTATCTAAACAGATGGCTCTGTGTTTAAAGACAGACGAAGTGCATGGGGTTTCATAGCAAAAGTGAATGGACGTCGCTTAGTGCAACAAAGCCTGGCATATGATAATGTCTAGGAGAATGGAGGTGGAGGCAGTCACTGCTGCCTTCCGCTGGCTTGAGAATCGGCTGTACACACATGTCGTGATTGTCACTGACTCGTAGAGAATGTTGAGAAAGGTGGAGACAGGTATGCTCCGTGCAGAGTGGCAAGCATCTCTTCAGAGGTCCCGGGTAGTTAGTAACCTTTGTATATTCTCTCCAGGTCATACCGGTATGTTGGGAAATAAGCTGGAAGATAGACTGGCCGGTTCTGCACCACGTGGTGGTATGACAAGCTAGACGTTGTGAGGGCCCTCTGGGAGCGAGTGAACAGTGCGGAAGCGCAAAAAGATCATTATGGTCTGAGGAGAATGGCGCTGCGAGGAGTTACCAGGGGATCTGGCCGACACTCAACACTTAAGGGAAGGGCAAGAAGGATATGCAATCAGACAGTTAGTGATGCCATCGGAATTGGAACTCTTCGTTTGCTGCTAAAGATGAGGACGGAACGCTTATGGGAGTGTCTCGGGTGCTATGATGTCGATTCTTAATTCAACATTCTACAAATGAAGCGAGAAATATCTGTCAAGACAAACCGTCCACAGCTGGGATCGAACCCGGCACCACGGCATTACGAAGCGCGTTCGCAACAACTAAGCCAAAGACGCCAATAATTACTTTAAAAAAAGGGAGCTAACTCTTTTCGTTTTCCGTGTGAGTTCGGGTTCGGAAGGGGGGGGGGGGGGGGGGGGGGGGGGACCTATTGCTCCACTCAAGAGCATGTACTACAAGTCAACTAAATAGAGGTGTTTCCTTCGAAATAAAAGTGCATCTCCCTAAGAGGCGATACAATCACAGCCTGCACAGAGATGAGCTAGATCTGTTAAACTGGATGTGCACGCAAAACAAGTCCTGGAACAAATTCAGAAGTGGACGTACATCCAGAACTGTTCCCCCGGGCTTTACAGTCTGGGAGCACTCAGAAGAAGAAGAAGAAGAAGAAGAAGAAGATAAAAGAAGAAGAAGAAGAGAAGAAGAAGAAGAAGAAGCAGAAGAACTCTTTTAGTACCAAGCATCTCACACTGGGTTTATTGGCTCTCGTTGTTTGATATGATTTTTAACACATCGGGTACTGATCAACTCATCATGCGTCTGCAAACCGACTGTTTTAATAGGGTCTAAAAAATATGAGTCTTACCTCATTTGCCCAAAGCGCCATTGGCGTACAAAGGACCGTTATTTTTACTACTACTACCATCACTACTACTACTACTACTACTACTACTACTACTACTACTACTACTACTACTACTACTACTACTACTACTACTACTACTACTACTAGTCTACTACTACCTCACTACTACTACTACCACCACCACCACCACTACTACTGCTACTACTACCACTACTACTACTACTACTACTACTACTATGACTACTACTACTACTACTACTACTACTACTACTACTACTACTACTACTACTACCGCCACTACTACTACTATTACTGCTGCTGCTGCTACAACTACTACTACCACTACTACCACCACCACCACTACCAATACTACTACCACCACCGCGACTACTAATACTATTGCTGCTGCTGCTACTACTACTAGTACTACTAGGGCACTGGCTGATCAGCATTCACGCACAGAAGACGTCGTTATTTACACAGATGGGTCCGGGAAGCGCGGACCAAGTGATCTCCAAGTGGGCACACACAGCAAGAAGGATGGGTTAAACAATAAAAGAGGATAGCGGTGCTTACCAGACAACTACGTCAAGCATGACCATGGAGTTGTTATGCTTGGTGAAGCATGCGTCTCCCATCTTCGAGGTAAAGACAGAAGATACTATAACCAACTCCTCATGGGAACAATCAAAAGAGGTACCTTGGAGTGGCTGCTGCATCTGAGGACTGAGCAGGCATGGGGGTGTCTAATGTGCAAAGACATCGATTGTGATAACATAAAATAACGTAACCACCAGAACACATAGCTATTAGTACATTTACAAATGGCTGTGAAACGCGGACCCTAACAGCTCAACTTGAAAGGAAGATACAAGCATTAGAAAGGCTATGTTACAGACAAATTCTTGGCATATCATACAGAGACCACATTACAAACGAGGAAGTTCGCCATAAAATTGTACAGCACACTGGCAGCTATAAACCTCTTTTAACTACAGTGAAAAGGCGAAAAATACATAATAAGATCTAACGGCCTCTCTAAAACAATACTGCAGGGCTCAGTAGGGAGGGAAAGAGGAGAAGAGGCAGACTCAAAAAAGATCTGGTTACAGAACCTGACTGACTGGATAAGCCTCAAGCATGCAATCATGAAGTCCATGGCAACTGACCGCTAAAGGTGGAGAGAGCTGATCAGACAGTCAACAGAAACTTGGGACCCAACAACACGCAGTGTTACGGGAGGATGATGATGATGTACCACCACCACCATCACCACCACCACCTCTACCAACACCACCATTGCCGTCTCAATATTACCCGCTGGACACTTGCCATGGTTTTCCACAAGCATAGGGTTCATGCTAATCTATGAAATTTGCATAATATTATTAACCATTGATATTTTATTTATGTGAGTGGTTGCCGTAAGGAACACAGCACACTGGTTTGCCCAGAGGCTCATAACACTGTTGAGACGGCTCTGCTGCTGCTGCTTCAGCTCATATATGCTGCTGCCTCAGCTCATACTGCTGCCAACACTACTACTGACTGATATGGTACTTCTGTCTGTGTATACTCTTCCTTTCCCCTCTTTGATTTCCTAATATTCTTCTTCTTCAGCATTCCGAGCCCTTGAGGTTCATTGCTGCAGATATTCCCCGCCTCCATTCAACTCTCTGGTTGGCCTTCTCTTTCCAGTTGGTGACCCCAAGTGTTTGCAGGTCTGTCTGGACATTATCTCTCCATGTTCTTCTTGGTCTGCCTCGTGGTCTACGACCATTCATCTCCCTTGTGTATACAGTTTTTACTTCTCTGTCATCTGACATTCTTAATATTGTTATAAATGTATAATTTCTAAACAAAATCGAATTAAAAGTTTTATTTCACGCTTTTTGACTCCATGTTTTTACCATACACAGGCCGGCTACTATGGCGCTGACTTCCCTTGGACAAGGATGGGCCTGGAGTTCCCTGTCAACACCAGCGTGGAAGTAGTATTATGTTGTTAGTGATTGCTTGTGCCTCAAGCCATGAAACGCTCCAAAAATGACCACATTCGCTCAACCATTAGTCGATATTTCAAGAGAAGACAGTTTACAGTAAGTTGTGATCAGAACTCACTATGTTTATTATTTTTTTTTTTTTAAATAAATAAAACAAAAACAACTACAACTGGGTTTCCCTGAGTTGACTTCACCCCATCTGAGTTGGTGGTGAGTGAGTCTGTGACTGTGAGTAGCAATATATATTACTAGCAGTACGACCATTTGTAAGTTGTGGGGCACCATTACACAAAAATGCAGGTAATTTAATGCATAATAAATTGTTTAGTAACATTTTCTAAAACTAAAACCGGTTGTTTTTTCCCAATATGAAGTAGGAATATTGGAATATATTTTTCTCAACAATCCAAAGAGTTCGCATTAAGATGATAAGATAAATAAGACTTAAGAGATCTTGAAAACAAAAACGTAATTTTTTCTTTTAATTAAAATGTTTTTATTTGTTGTTATCACTATTATTACTGTTTATCATTATTCATTATAAACCACTTCTGTTAAGCGTCGTGAGGAGGAATTATAATCTGCGTTCCAGTGCACGTGAATATGATTATGATTATTGATAATTCATCATAAAGGACCCGACCCCCCCCCCCAGCCCAATTAGTCTACTCTTACAACATGCTTGATAGGAAGGCAGTGTGTCTTATCTTGTTTTTCCCATGTGGCGCCTGGAACACACACAGGGGATCCTAATTTCTATGCCCTCTCCATTATAAAGGTAGTTTCCATGGCGTTGGCGGCTAGACGCCCACCTGCGGATCTACCCAGCCTTGAGTGGGTACCAGGTGCAGTCCTGGGAGTAAAGGCTGACCACATCACCCACCAAATGCCAATTGGTCTATAAAAAATATAGGTCTAGCCCTGTATTCCCAATCAATATGCCTAAAGAAAGGTGTGGAAAAAGGACCTTACTTATTCCGTTATAAGCAGCGAGATATATATATTCTGAGACTAGTTTATGTGGGTTGGGAATCTTCTCTCTGTCAGTCAGTTACTTTTTTTTAACCGCTTCACGGTGTAGAAAGATGCAGGTTCTTGCTCTTGTCTTCTTACCATACTTAGTTAATTGCATATCCTTTACAGGATGTTACAGAACCAGCCCCAGCATTTTTTTTTACTGTTCATGATTTTACCTGGAAATTTTATGTTCAGTAGCTTGTTATTCCTTCTAAATGGTCAGCCACTTCTAAGCACTGTCAAAATAAACGTCTGCTGCCAAATCTTCAGCATTTGGAATTGAAATTGTCATTCTGCAATTAACACTGTTCTTTGGTTGGCCAGGCCATGAGAAGAGAGGCATTGGAAAACATCTTGACAACTGGAAAGATCAGCGGACAGAGGGGTAGAGGCAGACCAAGAATGATGACGTCCGGTGGGCTGAAACGAGGGCATGGAGGGATATCATTAAGGGAGCTGTTCCAGGCAAGCAGGGATCATGAAATCTGTGGAGATGCTTGAGTGCTTACACCAGCTGGTTAGGCACATGATGATGATTCTGGAATTACTTAGCACATTTACTCATTTACAGTACTTAAAGCCAGGCGCTGACCCATCATAGACACTTGATTTTGTCGTTTTTTGATGTTCTTGTTTGCCTTAGACTGTACCCTGCTCACCTCTTTGGTTTCTGTCTTGTAAATTCAACTCAGGAAGTCTAATGGAGAAGCAAGAATTATATGCAAATTTATTAATTAATGTTGAATATCATCAAGAGAGCTGTTCCGGGCAACCAGGGATTGTGATCTGTGGAGATGCATGAGCGCCTACGCCAGCTGGCAGGGCACATGATGATGATTGAATACTGAACTAAGAATCTTCTATGATATATATTCTTAGGAAAGTGAGATGCCGTCCAGAAAAGATTCACGAAGAGAAGAGCCAGTTGGTGACTTGTCAGTTCGAAGGAGAGCACAATCTCGAACCAGCGTTGAAAATACTCTGGCACTCAGCAGTATTTCCGGAGATGCTACGGCTTGTGACCAGCAGTTTACAAGGTGGGTAATAACCAGAGTCAACACATCAGCAACTTTTTATCTATTCTAACCATCTTCTCTGTCTTATAACTGTTTTTCCCTAGTGGTTGCAGCAACATTTCTGTTATTTTTTTTCATACTCTTAAATTCATCCCATTTTTTTTATTCGTCATATTTCACAGGAATTTTTTTGAAAGCATTTCACTTTTGTTCCAAGTCTTTAGTAGCTCTCTACTGGCATATGTATGATAGGTTAGTTAGTAAAAGTAACATAAGGGGAGCGAGTGAACATTGCCAAGGAACAGATAGATCATTATGGTTTGATGAGCATGGCACTGTGAGGAGTTACAAGGGGATCTGGCCGACACTTGACACTCAGTTACTGATACCATCCAAATTTGAACTCTTTGCTTGCTGCTGAAGATGGGGACGGAGCGCTTATGAGGGTGTCCTGAGTGCTGTGATGTTGATTCTTAATTCAACATTCAGTAACGTAAAGGACTCTTGATCATACCTTCGTGCATATTAGACCGGGCTGGACCTGTATTTTACAGACCAGTCGGCTTTGGTGGGTGCTGTCAGCAACACACCGGTTGATTAACTTACCAGGGCTTTTACCTGGTACCCACTTAAGGCTGGGTTGACCTGGTGGTCATGGTCATATTTGAATGTTAACACTCCCGATCTGAGATCTGCATGTAGAAAGCATTTCTGCAGCACATGTTTACTGTTCTTCTTCTTCATGTTCGCTGGCTGTAAACTCCGGCGGAAAGTTCTGGTTGCTCGTCCACTGCTGCACTCTAGTCCTGTTCCAGAACCTGAGTGTTGCGTGCACATCCATTTTGCAAATCTGACTTATTTTTGTGCAGATTGATTGTTCCTTGCCTCTCATGCAAATGCACTCCAACTTCAAAGGGAACTCCGAATTAGTGACTCTAACGACTTGCTTTTGGGTAGGCAATAAGTTTTCTTGTTGTCATAATGAGGCCCCAGAACACACATGGGGATGTTTAGTATAGTGTGATGCCTGTCCACATGGGAATAGTTCTGTCCCTCTATTTGAATTTCTTTTTACATCATATCTGTTGTGTCCAGTATCTTCTTCTTCACATTCGCTGGCTGTAAACTCCAGCAAGAAGTTCTCGTTGTTCGTCCACTTATGGACTTATAGTCTTGCTTTTGAGTTATGCATGCACATCTGTTTTACAGATCTGGCTTATTTATATGCAGACTGTTTGTTCCTCGACTCTTAGAAAGACATTGAAGGAAAAACTTCTAGATAGTCAACTTTTATGACATTCTCAATAGAGGGGAAGTAGGTCTATTTCTTGTTTCTCCCTAAATAGTGCCCTACTTTTACATATGACAGAAAATATTGTATCCAGTGTTATAAATTTGAAAAGAAAATACGTTTACTGTTAAAATGTACTTATCAATAATCTTTTTTGCAGAATGAAAGCATTTATCATCAACGCAGTATCTCCATATGGTGCCCAGCTGCAGCCCTTGTTGTTCCCTATGTTTGCCCATGTTTTCCTAGAGATGCTTTGCAATGGACACAAAGTGCCTGGTAATTTGTAACTTTTAACACTTGTTTTACTATTTGTTAGCGACCTTTTTAAGCTATCCAGATAGTTGTATTAACCCTGTTGCCCCGAAAGCAGCAATACCGGCACTTCCAGTTGGGACAAATTCCCATAAATGTCACTTTTCCAACTTATAGTGACCTGTTTATGAGACATATAGTTAATGCTGTGTTCACACCTGCGCAAATGTTTGTGACTTCAGGATGTGAAAATATTAACTAAACATAATGGAAGGGGGGGGGGGGATTCTTTCTACCAAATAAAATTTTCTAAAGCTAAGCTGATGTCAAGTTTTCATGTAAGCCTCATTGATAGAGCTTAAGGGGTTGCGGCATGAGTCGGCCGATACATATTATTTAGGTCCTGGCAAATGTATATATTTTTTTTTTGTTACTAAGGGCACAGGGGTTAAATTTGGGCTATAAGGAGGCAAGGAATTACAGCCCATGTTGATGCAAGTGAGACTGGAAAGACCAGCTCACGTTGAAAAATTCCAAAAAAAATGGTGCATGGGATATTGTTTCACGATACCTATAGTTGTAGTCAAGATTTGAACTTCACTGCTGTCAGGTCACCCTATACTTGTTCCGTTCCTGTGCCAGTGAAAGTCAGATGAGACATCCCTCACTGTCCTATTTGAAAACAATGATTAATCCCGGCACAGTTCAGAAATTTGCACATGCAATAAATGCATAAGACAGTTGCTACCAGAATTTCAGTTTGTTGTTGACAGAAATAGTCATGATAAGTTAGCTATACTTACACAAAATTGTTAAATAAGGTTTCACCATAAACTCTTGGATAGGAGCTGCAGTTGCTAGGTGCTGCCGGCCAGAAGAAAGTCCTGGATTCAAATAAAATATAAATATGTCTGCCAACATATGTGGAATGGACCACTGGTACAGAAACAATCCTTTACTTTACTATAAACTGTGGGATTTCTTCTTCACACTCACGGGCTGTAAACTTCACTGGAAAGTTTTCGTTTTTTGTCCACCTCTAGACTGTAGTCTTGTTCCAGAACCCAGGTGTTGCATGCACATCCGTTTTACACACGTATTTGTATATTTGTGTGCAGACTGTTGGCTCCTTGCCTCTCAGGCAGATATACGACTTTGAGAGAAGCCCACCAGTTAGTAAACTCCTACAACATGCTTGTTGGGGCGGCAGTGGGTCTATTCTTGTTTTTCCTGCAATGAGGCCCTGGTACCTATACAGGGAATAGTGGGGTGTAAAAGTGGAGTGGTTCACGTGCTATTGACATCACCCACAGGGCACTAGTTCGATTTATAAACTTAAAGAGCTAGCCAGAGCCGTCTTAACAGCATTATGGGCCCCTCTACAGAGCAGTGTGCTGGGGCCCTTACGGCAGCCACTCACAGGAGTAAAATTTGTATTTCTGGCAAGTCACTTGACATACACAGATTATTGTGGGGCCACAGGAGGCTGTTTATTAGCCAATATTCCTTAATGTTGAGATTTTTCAAGATGTCAGTATCTCTTCTCTTCTTTGTCCAAGATATTCTGGAAATCTTTATATAGCATTTCAGCTCAAAAGCCCTTATTCTCTTTTTTAAGGACTGGGAGATGTCCACAACTCACATCCGTATGTTGCTATAGGGAAGATGCATGCTCTCAAAATTCTAATTTTGATCTCCTTGCTGGTGCTTAACCATAGACTTTTAATGCTGTTTAATACTACCTCTTCTACTTGTTCATTTTCACCAGCTGTAAATTCTGGCAGAAAGTTCTGGTCTGTGGCCGACTTCTAGATTTTAATCTTGTTCCAGAACCTGAATTTTGTGTGCACATCAGATTTACAGGTCTGGCTTATTTGTATGCAAGACTTTATTTTGCCCCATTTAGGCAGATGCTCGGACTTCAAAAACAAACTTCCTGAATTAGTTGCCTTTTATGACATGCTTGTGAGGGAGGAAGTAGTCTTTTTTTCTTTTTCTGGAACAGGGCCCCGGAAAGGAAACTGGGATATTTTTATTTTTCAGTATCATAAGTAATTAAGTTGACTGTTTTTGTAAAATAGCCTACTTTGTGTTTTCCAGCCCAGAAATTTTGTGAACGACACTCAGAAACATTCCAAGAAGACAGGCATCAAAATTTCATCAGAGCCTTGAAGAAACTGGAGTCAAAAAGCCAAGTGATGGCCAGTAAAGAAGTCACAGAATTCAGGTTGTGTTCACTTATTCCAGCAGTTTTGTAATTTGGAAAAAAAATTAATGGTATTTTGGCATGTTGACTATATTTTGAATTAAGAAGCGACATCTCAGAACTCAGGACACCCCCATAAGCGCTCCGTCCCCATCTTCAGCAGCAAACCAAGTGCCAATTCCGATGGCACCAGTAATTGTCTGATTGTATATCGGTCTCGCCCTTCTCTTGGGTGTTGAGCGTCGGCCAGATCCCCTTGTAACTCCTCAGACCGCAATAATCTGTTTGCGCTTCCACGCTGTTCTCGCTCCCAGAGGGCCCTCACAACATCTAACTTGTCATACATAAATTCACCACCAAGTGGCGCAGAACCGGCCAGTCTATCTACCTGCTCATTTTCCAACACACCGGCAACACCTAAAGAGAATATGCAAAGGATGCGTCTCATTTTTTAGGTCAGTGAAATAATTATAAGGGGTCAGTGATATCATTTACCTCACACACACATAAATCCTCAGCTTTAGATCCACATCTGAGTTGAGTTATGAGTTATATTATCTTCACAGCACTCCAGACACATCCATCGGTGCTCAGATTTCCCCCTTCAACATATTCATCAGCGACACACTGTTAATAATGCCAGTCCGGTGTTGGTTAGCAAAACTTCTGATGTGCCTCTCATGCTTGGCTGTTCTGATCTTTGCTCCCAATTCTTGTATTCTTAGCAGGTATGTGAACACATTTCTCCCAAAATCATTGGATCATCTGATCTGTCTAAGGGCATTAGCAATGCCACCGTGATCCATTGGACGGCCGTCTGCAGCTCATACAGAACCTGCCAGTCTGTCAGATCTTTTATTGCCAACAAAACCTAAATTGTATAGTTTTAAAACTTAAGTTACATATTTTCAGTTCTAATATTATTTCAGTTTTAATATATGCAAATGACAGTTAGAGAAATTTCGAAGTTAAATTTTAAACAAATGCCTGAGGGAAAATGTTGAAATAAAATGGGATGAAATCAAGATGGCTGAAGCTCAGAGTTGTTTCTGTGTTTGAAACTGTTGGCAAAGAGCTAGCAGCTCTGCAAAGAGAGACTGAGCCATCTGATGTAAAGCTTTAAATTTGTTTGTCATATTTGCTGCAGATAATTTCTGATAACATTTCTTTCATGCGATCTCTCTCTCTCTCTCTCTCTCTCTCTCTCTCTCTCTCTCTCTCTCTATCTCTCTCTATCTATCTCTATCTCTCTCTTCCTCCCTCCCTCCCACCCACCCACCTTTTAGAGTAAATACTCCCATCTTTCAGTTCTTTTGACCCTTAGAAAATGAAGTTTGTTTGTTTGTTCTGAAGATTGTTTGTTTGTTCTGAAGATTGTTTGCCCTTTTTTTTTAAAATTATGTTTATTTTCTATTACAGAGAGAATCGCCATGTTTTAAATGTCACACAAGAGGTCCTGGATTATCTTATGAGGCATTTAAAAGTAAGAATGATACAATTCACTGACTTTTTAAATCCTTTCTTATCCATTCATTCTGAAAAGATTATTTTGGTTGTACTGGGTCAGTTTATAGAAAAACAGTGATGTCTGCAGCACTCTGAAACAGATTCATCAGGTGAAAAGTTACAGACCCTTTTCACGCCAAAGGTGCTTCGGATCTATATTTATAAAGATAAGTTGGCACTTGATGGGCGATGTCAGCAGCACACAGGCCATTTTTACTTTCCAGGACACTATCTGGGGCCCATTTGAGACTGGGCTGACCTGGAGCGAGGTCATTTTAAAGACCAAACTCTTCAGTCCAGTGTGGATTTAAATGGTGGACCAGCGGGCAAAATTCTGGTCATTACTCTAATGCAACTTCTAACAGTCTGCACTTATTTATTAATGGCTGAGGTATCACTCTAGTGTGTTTGGCTTGGGGGGGGGGGGGGGGGGAGAGATTAATTTCCATTTGGCTGTCTGCATAACAAATTTAAGTGGTCTGTGATGTCATTAAAAAAAATACACCCTTTCTTTAATTTTAATATATTATTTCTCCCCCCTTTCTGTTTTTTAAAACTGACTATTAAACATGTAGGGTCCTTGGTAGATCTTTGAAAAGCTTATGTTTGTTTGTTTGTCTGAGTACTCCACTGGGCTGTGACAGAAAGTCCTATTGTTTGTCCATTTGGGCTTTTGTGCCAGCACTTGGGTTTTGTGTACAGATCCATTTTGCTGGCTTATTTGTGTGCAGTATATTATTCCTTGCCTGTCTGGCGGATGTACTTCAGCTTTGATGGAAAATGTTGATCCTATCTTTAGGATGACTGTAGTCTTATAGACCTTGAAAAATAAGAGGTAGTCTTCAGGTCTTTTTAAACGGAACGATTATTGTGTGAGTTTTGGATCTCACTCGTAAAAAGAATATTCATGTCTGAGTTATTGAGTATTGTATTGTTGGTCATTTTGTTTCGGTTTCCTATTTTTGTGACAAGACTTTCTCAGCCATGTCATATAACCAGAACGGAGAAATCGAATTAATATGAATACATTGCTTTATCTATCAGAAACAACGCTCCAGCCATGTGTATCAGATTTTGTAATCTCTAAGCAGCAGCAAATGTCACATTGACAGAAAATTGTAATTTTGTAACATCAGATTTCACAGATGAACTGCCATCAACATTTGTTTTCATTTCTGTGTTTTGTTAGCTGGTATGTGGGCTCGGAAACACTGTTCCCTATTTTGATAGGCCATGATTGTAAAAGGGTTGAGAAACACTGGCTTAAAACAAAAGAAGTCTAAGACCTGTTCATTTTTACCAATTTGCATCAGCTGAGATAGTTTTATTGGTCTGTTTTTTTCTCTGTAATTTATGTGGAACTTATCACAATCTTGCCTGCACGATGAGAGTTCCTTCCCCTTCCATTCATGCTTTGCACAGCCCTCCTGTGTTTTGAGGGTGTCATGAGATGGCTTCATTCAGTGTTTGCTCGCTGTATATAATGTTTATAGGAGGATGTGTTGCCTTGAGTCTCTTTGAGGCGCTGCAGGTGCCTGTGTACAAGTATGAAATACTGCTGGGAGCACCAAAGGCACGATTGTTCGTTCATATAAAAAATTGGATGTTTTTGTATTTCTACATTCTTTTATGGTGGCTTACCCCCAGAAAAAGAAGCCACTGACAGGAAACTTAGAAATACAAAAACATCGCAGTTTTGATACTCACGAACCGTCGGGCAAGTAGCTCAACGTTGAAATAATCATGCAAGTGAGTGATGACAATACGAGAAGAAGGAGAATGGTAAAACCATTTAAAATAAGGAACACATAACACCACCCCACCACATAAGACAGGCCAAGGGGATTGGCCGCAGTATAAATGGGAGGGGAAGGAACTCCAGTTGTGCAAACAAGTTCGTGATAAGTACCAAATTATGTTTGTGTTTTCAATCAGAAAATGGTATTGTTCTGTTTTTGTATTGTAATAATTGTTTTGTATTTGCCTCCTGAAGATAATATATTTCTGTGTTTATGATTTCTGTTTTTGTGTCCTCAGACAGATGATAATATGATCATGCTGCAAGTGTTCAATCAGTATATAAAAACCATTGGTATGTATCAGATGTATATCTAATGTACTAGAAAGTTACGAAAGACGTCTTCAGATTAAAAGTTAGTCTTTAAAAAAGTCAGCTTCTGTCACTTGGATGTGAAGTTTGGCAGCAACAGTGGAAAACAGTGGTGGTGTTGATGATTGAAAGGGGATATCTTTGAATGTAATAGTTAATCTGAGCTGAGATATTTTGGACACATCAAGCACCAAAGTAATCCTTGTGGCAGGCTGGGATGTATTGTTGTTGGTTCAGAAGTCCAACTGCCACATCTAAACACTACTTTTCCTTTTTTTTTTTTAATAGAGTACAATAATGAATCGTAGTTTCTAGAAAACAAGTCAGTGGCCAACCTCTGTGAAGGTGGAGGCAGGACCTTGAAGATGCTTTGTCTATGAAAGCACACAGGGCTGGAGATTTGGTTTGAGAGAGTGAGACTTTCAGGCATGCTGTAAAGAGAGTGACATTTTGTAAACATCATGCTGATTGATTGATTGAATAGTGAGGTACTTAATTAATATTCTACCCCAAACAGGGGAAATCCACAGGTCATGGGTTAGTCAAATATTTAAGGGGGTGGTAGATAGGCTGCATGCAGTCGTGGGACCTAGGCTGCATGCAGTCGTGGGACCTAGGCTGCACTGTCATAGGATGTAGTTGGGGTTAGGGCTATTTCTAGATGTTTTGGAGTCATTAAAAGCATCAGAAAGCCGGGAAACCCAGTCTTACCACCCTCTGAAATGTTGGACTGTCCTGTGACGTCATCTGGGGTAGGATATTAATAAAGCACCAATAGTTAATCTTGTTATAACTCACCTTGCTTCCTTGGCCACTATTGAGTATCAACATTTGGTTGTATATGGCTCATGAGAACAGACCAACTGTTCCTTCCTATGACACTTTGGCAGCAAAAGTTGATGATAATGGTGATTAAAAGTGTATTGGAAGTCTAAACTGAACCACCACCTCTGGTAGTGCACCAGAATCCGGTTATAACTGGTCAAAACCTGTCTGATCCTTTCCACTGTCATCCTAGAAACTGGTTTCCTACTGGGGTCCAGGCCAATGTAGATAGAATGGATAGTTGCCTCAAAGTTAGAGGACAAAATCAGCCACCATGGGTGGCTAAGAACCAGGGAACCAGACCTCCAGGGGGGGACCCAGGGTACGCTGGAAAGACATCCAACAGTCCCTAACTGACAGAGGACTGGTATGGAAAAAAGCCAGGAAGAAAACTGTTGATAGAGACGTCTGGCGATCTCTCTGGCAAACCTCTGCACCCTAAGGAAGAAGATGAGCGACTAAGTTAGGGGACTTATGCTTAAGAGGCAAAGAGCCAGAAGTTTGCACGTAAATAAGCCAGATCTACTACATCTACTAAATAACTTTCACATGAGATGCCAAAGAAGAATCATCATCAGGTAACACTGTGTGTGTTGGGTAACCAGCCGCTCTTGACTCTGATCATATCCCTCAATCTTTGACGGTCAGAAAAATACTAGGCATTAAGTGGCAAGACAAGATCACAAGCACTGAGGTATTGGAAAGAACAGGTATTACAAACAATTTTCTTAATGCTCAGCATATGAAGGCCAGGCTGGCTTGGTCACACCAGGAGAGTGGAGGATGGTAGAGTCCCTAAATACTCATCCTCTATGGTAAATAACAGAAGGGTAGGCAATGTCAAGGCTGACCTCTGTTACAATATAAAGATGTGCACAAGTGGGACATGAATGATATGGGTATAGAGTAGGGCTGTACCGAATAGTGATTTTCACTATTCGGCCGAATACGAATACGAATAGTAAATCATCATCATCATGTACTTTGCCGGCTGGCATGGGCGATTATGCCTCGCCACAATCTGCGATCTCCTGCAGCACGTATTAGTTCGTGTGCTCACACACCTCCATGAAAAAACTTCGCTCCATGTTGTCAGCATTTTTGTCCCACTGAAGGTATTTCCAGTTGTACTAAACATGAAAATACGACAAATACAGAGAGTCAAGATGAAAACCGGCAAGGCGAAACATCAAAAACAAAAATAACGCAGACGAAGAAAACAATGCTGTCCTCACAAATCGCCCGCCCCCGCGAGCTCAACGGAAACAAGATGGCGACATTAAAGACCACCGCGGCCACAGAGAGGGACACCGCCGAGCAGCCGACACCTGAAGATCACATAACGAAGAAATCCGTGCAGACGAAGAAACCAGACGCCGAGCGGCCAACGCCAGAAGATTAAACAACAAACGAGACAACGATAGAACAGTTACGACACCCACAAACATAAATGATGATGAACTCCCGTTACTTCAAACAATCAACGAAGAAGACACTCCACTCAGAGAAATCAAGCCGACAACACTAGAACACTTGCTTTTCTGCCCCTCTTACATTTTCAAGTGTTGCATTTTGTTTCTACACACCTAAAAACACTATACTCGCAACACATACAAGATGGAAATAAAGGGGTAACAACCCCCCAACAAAATAACAAAACAAAAAAAAAAAGACGTTCACTTGGTACGCTCGTAGGTGGTGCACAAAGATAACGCTTGACAGTATAAACCAAGGGGGGAAATCTTGATGTTTTGTTTCCACCAGTCCAGAAACGGTTGTGAGGTAACCACTATTCGTATTCGGCCCGACCGCAACTATTCGGCCGAATACCGAATAGTTATTGGGTCCACTATTCGGCCCCGAAGCGAATACGAAGCCAATATTCGGTACAGCCCTAGTATAGAGGTGGTTTCCCAAGGGGGGGGGGGGGGAATTTTGCAGTGAGGGGAGAATATTAGGGATGGAATAAGAATGAAGGAAGAAATAATTGCAGAACGGCTGAGTGTCTGGGAGGAAACGCTATATACAGATTATGGCAACAACGGTCCTGAAATCCCATGTTATCTTCTTCTTCTTCGCGTTCACCAGCTGTACACTCTGGCTGAAAGTTCTGGTTGTTCGTCCACTTCTGGACTGCAGTCCTGCTCCAGAACCTGAGTGTTGCGTGTGCATCAGTTTTACAGATCTGATTCAATTGAATGCAGACTGCTGGTTTCTTGTCTCTCAGGCAGATGCAATCTGACTTCAGATGGAAGCTCCCCAGTTAGTCGACTCTTACGACATGCTTTTGGGGAGGCAGTGGGTCTATTCTTGTTTTCCCTACAATAGGGCCCCGGAACCCACACGGGGGTTCCCATGTTATAATTGTGGAAGACTTTTCCTAATGCAGGTGGGTCTTGCTGGTCACACTCACCATCGCCATTGGATGCTAGTCCCATGCCTCCTCACAGTGCAATATAACACTTCGTGTTATCTGTAAAATTGAACAAATCCACCAGACTTTTACGAACAACCATGACTTTGTGCAAAGTACAAACTTTCAATAACTGATGCATCAAAGAATTAAATGGTAATGACAGAATCACTAATCTAAAGCTTTGCGAGAGAACTAAACACATTCTAATGATTCAAGAAGCAAAGAAAAGATACTGGCGTTGGATGAGACACATGTTAACAAAACCTGACAACAGTATAACTAGAATGTTTTTGCACTGAAACCCACAAGGACATAGAAAAAAAAGCAGACCAAAAAAACACATTGAGAAGAGAATAGGAGATTTATAAAAAGATGGGAATGGCTTGGGGTGAGCTGCATACCATGGCAAAAGTTAGGACAACTTGGCATGAGTTGATTCAGGGCCTATGCTCCATTGGGGGATAATTGGCAGAGGAAGAAATAATAAGAAATGGAACTGGTGTGTGCTGTATTAGTTAGGTATGTCACCTCATCACCCTTGACCAGTGCTACTTTTTCATCTGTTTGTCCTACAGTGATTCAAGAAAACGATTCACAGCTTCACAACGCACTAGAATTAGATTCCGTGCTATTAGAAGCCACTGTAGAGGAAGTTCAGCCAGCTCCGTCCATACAGCCGGCAGATCCCCAAGAGGAAAGCCTTTCCATTGAGGAAGAGTTGTCTGCAGCTATCAAAGCTCTTAGAGACCTGCCTCCATGTCTGCCATCCATTTGTTTTTTTACATTTCTTAATACTTATCAAGGGTGAGTAGTCTGTGTGCAGTGTTTTGGGTGATTTGAAGGGCGAGGTGCACGGATATAAGGTACTTTTTAAGTTGCCCCAGACAAAGGAAGTCTTTGAGCTCGCAGGAAAATCCAAATTTAAGGTGTATGGGGCATTAGGGTTAGGATCTTTGTCGGCCCTGATAGCCTCGGAGACACCGACTAACCGTAACCCCAACACATAACACCCCTTAAATATTGGACTGTCCCAGGAACTCTATTTTTTTGTGTGGGTGACTTTAAATTAAAAAAAACCAGATATAGTTGTTTTTTTTTAAAGGAAAGAAACGCTGTTTTCTGCAATTGTGCATCAGGCATATCAACACCGGTCCCAAATTATTCACTGTTTTTAAAAAATCGCATTCAGGGCCTCAAGAGGTCATATAGTTAAAAATATGGAATAGGAACACTACGAACAATGCTGTGGGTGACCCATGTTCGATTTCCCGCCAGGTGATATATTTTGTTTGCCCGTAAAAGTGCGGTTGGTATCTGCACCTTTCGCCCTAAAAAAATCCGATTTCAGCGAAGTCTTAATTTGTCTTTTACAACATGCATTTTACGTGGCAGTGGAGCTATTGGTTTTTTTTCCCTCAAACATGTGGCCCTAGAACCCACAAGACGAGTCACGGCTACTGTGAACAATGGATCAAACCTGTTGCCCTGGAACCCACAAGACGAGTCACGGCTACTGTGAACAATGGATCAAACCTGTTGCCTTAGAACCCACAAGACGAGTCACGGCTACTGCGAACAATGGATCAAACCTGTTGCCCTGGAACCCACAAGACGAGTCACGGCTACTGTGAACAATGGATCAAACCTGTTGCCCTGGAACCCACAAGACGAGTCACGGCTACTGTGAACAATGGATCAAACCTGTTCCTCACCACGATGCTGTAATAAATCAAAAACTAATCCTCCCCACGACGCTTAAACAGTGGATCAAAATCTATTCTCTAGGTAACACTTTACAATCCTTGTCCTCTCTCAGGGGATCCTGAGATGTGAGGGCCCTTTGGGAGCGAGTGAACAGTGTGGAGGCACAAATAGGTCATTACGGTCTGAGGAGAATGGCGCTGTGGTGAGTTACCAGGGAAAGGCGAGACAGATATACAATTACATAGTTTACTGGTACCATCGGACTTGAAACTCTTTGCTGTTGAAGATGGGGACAGAGCGCTTATGGTAGTGTCCAGAATGCTGTAAAGTAAATCCTAAGTTCAAAATTCAACAGGGGATCCACGATCACAACCAGCAACCCGGTCTTCTCATAGAGCCATCCTCACAGTACCTTCTTGACTGCAGCTCAAACACAGGGGCTATGAACTGACCTGCCTGAAGGTTATGAGATGATAAATGCGCTGCATGCTACAGAACACCCCCCACACACACACACACACATTGTGATTTTAACTGACTCAGAAAGCCTGCTGAGAAGGGTGAGGACTGGCATACTTTGTGCTGACTGGCATGCTTTGCTTCAGAGGTCAAGGGTGAAGAGCATTGTCTTGATCTTTTCCCGGGGTATGGCAGTGTGTTGGGAAATGAACAGGCAGACTGGCTAGTTCTGCTCAACTTTGTGAAGTATTGATACATGATAAGGCAAATGGGGTTAAGGCTTTATGGGAGCATGTGTACAATTTGGAACAGCAAAGGGATCACCCCAGTCTGGTGACAGTGATGCAGCAGAGAGTGGCAAGAATCTGGCCAATACTTGAAACTCAGAGGAAATGCAAGACGGGCATATCATTAGAATGCTACTAGCATCATTGTTATTGGAACACTGTGTTGGCTCCTGAAGATGTGGACGGTGCACTTATGGGAACGCCCCGAGTGCTGTGATGTCGGTTCTTGATTCAGATCTAAATCACATCCAGTTAGTTAGTTAGTTGGGTTATCATCATTGCACTCTGGACATGTCCATAGGTGCTCAGATCCTCCCCTCAGTATGAACCCCCAATTTCCGATGGCTAATAGTACCAGTTCTATGCTGATTAACAAGTCTTCTGGCGTGTCTGTTGTGCGTCTCGATTTTTGCTATGCCGATCTTAATTCCTAAGTCTGCCATTCTGGCGAGGGTGCTACATCAACTGTCGCTCTAGAGTGATACCTTGCTTGCAGAGGCAGCCCCTGACAACTCACACTGACAACATTCTGAGATATGTAGTAGCATATCAAACGAAATGTTTAAACATGTAGCAGACTATCACCAGTAATCTTGTTTACTTTACCTGTCACCGTCAAGTGTAAGTTCTGTAACTTTTGTCTGTTCCAGTTTTTCTTGTATTACGTTCCTTACACTATCAGTTCCTGACAGAGCACTTTGGGCTATACCAGTATTTTGTTGGGCCAGTCGGCACACGGAGGGTGATGTCAACAGAGGCCAGACTCCCTGATACCCTTTTTATGCTGGGATGACTTTAGAGCTGTTGATTAATTTTAAAAATCTCAATAAAGATTCGAACCCGAGACCTTTTAGCTAGAAGGCAGGGAGCTGAACACTTCGTTAACATGCCCCCTGATATAATAAGGAATTAAGCTGACTTACTTCATGTCTGTACCACCCCTATATCATCTTAGAAAAATCCCACTAAATTGTGTCCTACATCTTAGTTGCGCATCCTTTACAGCATGTTGCAGAACCAACAACAGTTTTTTGGGCTGTTGTGGTTTTTCTAGGCAAGTTTACGTCCAGTAGTTTGCCATTGCTTTCTGGGCGGTCGGTTTCTCGATACCACTGTCAAAACCACAGCAAGGCTCACAGCTGGGATCAAACCTGGCATTACAAAGAGCATTCGCAATGCCTAAGCCACAGACGCCGACTGTGTCCTACATATAGATATAATATTCCAGAAAAAAATTTGTCTGTAAATCTAGTAAAAGACAACACATTTTATAATTTTTTTGAATCACCACTAATTATTTTCATCATAAAGGCATATATAGAGAGACTGGCAGACAACAGGGGGGACTTCTTGTTCACGTTTATTGGCTGTGAACTTCGGTAGAAAATTCTGGTCGATAACTCTTTCAGTATCAGTGAGCTTACTATGCGTTCATCGCTTATAAGATTTGTGGCACACATTTCTTTACATTTCCTATCCAGGTCTTTTGTTATGTTAACCCCTTATGTTTTAATTATTTAACACTTTCTTTCCCAAAGCTGTAGTTTTAAGTTTCTGAGACTTGCAAATGGTTGCTCAGTGATATAAAAATGTTAGCATAGACAATATTGAATCAGAAACTACCTGGGTCAGAGAGAGTTAATCTACTGCTGGACCACGAGGCAGACCAAGAAAGTGATTGAGAGATAACATACAGGCAGACCTGCAAACACCTGGAGTCACCAGCTGGGAAGAGAAAGCCAGTCACAGAGATAAATGGAAACAGGTGCTATCTGCAGCAGTCAACCTCAAGGGCTCGGAATGAAGAAGATGAAATTTGTTGGGCTTGGTGAACTCTCTTATTGTGTGAGACTTGCTACAGTTCTTCTTCTTCGTGTTCCCCGGCTGTAAACTTTGGAGGAAAGTTCTGCTTGTTAGTCGACTTCTGGGCTTTTGATCTTGTTCCTTAGCTTGAGTTTTGCATGTACGCCCATTTTGCAGATCTAGCTTTTTTCTTTCTATGCAGTCTGCTGATTCATTGCCTCTCAGTCAGGTGGTGCACAACTCTAAAGAAAACACCCCAGAAACCCGCATGGAAATGCCTTAATTCAGTAAAATCTGTTTCCATGTATTATAAATCAGTGTATTGATTAGAAAGGCACACTAGACAACATAGAAATTGAAAGCTATAGTTATCGTGCCGGAAATTATTCTTCTCTGTTCACCGGCTGAAAGGTCCTGGTTGTTCCTCCATTTTGGCTTTGTGCCAGGACCTGAGTTTTGCATGTATATCCATTTTACTGGCTTATATATACGCAATTGGTTGTTCCTTGCTGCTCGGGCAGCAAACTTCAAAGGATGTCCCAAATTAGTCAACTTCTACGACATGCTTGTTGGGGGAGCAGTGGGTCTATTATTGTTTATCTCACAATGGGATCCCGGAACTCACCTGGGGATGCCGGGATGTTAATCTGTCAGCTCCAAATGACCTATGCACCTCACTATGGAAGCAGGTGTACTAAGAGGACCAACTAGGCACCACTAAATTCCCCCCTTTTTTTATTTACTGTTTCCATATTGTTAGACTGTAAATATCTCTGTTACTTATTGTTCGGCTTGCATTCAACCACAGATTATGCACAGCCACTATTTCTCAAGACAAGAGGAAGTTGAGTGGATGTTTTGAAGATTCCACCATCTCTGTGTGGAACCTGGAGCCGGATGTTGTGACGAGATCTCCTGCAGACTGTGATATTAGCAGAGTTTTTCTGGCTGCGGATTACCTTCATTGTACAGAAGATGAGATTAAAGATAAAATGAATCAGAGGTATTTTAAAACTGCTTTTGAACCTGCATTATATAAAAATGTCAGTGATAGATGTTTTATGTTCTTCTTTTATTTGCTTGAAATAAATTATCTTTATCTGCAATGTTGTCTCTGGTATAAACTTAACTTTTTTTTTTTTTTGTAATTCAATCGTCGACTTGTAAAGTTGGGCTTGCACCAATGTTTATTTTGGCCAAAAGTTTTGCCTCGATTTGTTGTCCTTTGGGACAGTCTTGGAGGATATGATCTGTTGTCTCAGGTGCCGGTACACATTTGCCAGTCTTAAATTGTGTGTACATGGGGCTGTGAAGTCGATTGTGCCGTTTTCTAAAGCATAGAATAATTACTTGTTTTATATAAACATAAAGATCACATGGTTAATCTTAGACTTCCTTTGTATGTAAAGTGCTGCAAGAGACACTATTTTTTTTTTTTCAAGTGTAAAGAATTTGGAGAGCCGCCGTGGCGTAGCGGCTAGACGCTCGCTTGCAGATCGGAATGTCGTGGGTTCGCTCCCTGGCGGAGCCATACTTTTTTCAGTAATGACCTTGACTCCTAGGTTGACCCAGCCTTGAGTGGGTACCGGGTGCAGTCCCTGGAAATAAAGGCAGCCGTCGTGATGCTGACCACATCACCCACCAAGTGCTGATTGGTCTATAAAAGATATAGGTCTAGCCCTATATGTTCTATACGCCTAAAGGCGTGGAAAAGGGAAAAGAATTTGTGTTTTGTTTTATGTTCAACCCTGTAGTAATGCACCTGGTGAGATACAGCAAAATATGCCAGGCAATAAATTGTATTATCATCATCATCATGCTTGTCGTTGGGTCACCAGTTGCATTTGACTGACTGATCAGCTCTCTCCATCTTTGATGGTCAGAGATGATGGACTTCATAGTTGCATGTCTAATGTTTCTCCTGTCAGTCAAGTCCTGTATAAATCTTATTACATATCTGTACCATTGCATTCGTCTTATATATTATCTTGATTATGCCTTTGTTATACAAATTGAAAGTGGGAAAACATTGTTTTCATTGAGTCTTTTATTTTGCCATCTATTTACCTGGTGGTGCTTAGGGCTTCAACCAAAGTGTCCTTCGAACCTTTTCACCCCAGATACTGTGTTTGGTTGTTCATTCATGCTTCCTGGCCTTTCACATGTGCTAATCTAAGTTACACGGTAGTCGCTTTGTATTCTCTTTGACACTATCATCAGCCATATCTCGTGTTCTATTTTTCAAAATGTGACCATTTTAACGACCCCACAACATCTGGAACTACCCCTACCCCACAGTGTCAGCCTGCATCTCATGAAAGAGTGCAACCTACGTCCCGTGGTTTCATAATTCTGCAGCAGGTCCAAAAAACCGGTTGCTGCAGAGAAGCAACTCTTCTCTCTTTGTCATTCCTTAATGCTCACAGCTGAAGTAAATTGATGTCCTACTTGAAGTCCCACAACCTATAATATATGCAATCTTGCCAGCCGCTCACACCAACCAGTACATGGCGTGCAATATACATAGCTGAGAAGATCGGACACAGCTCAACCTGACAACCCTGTAACTCAGACTAGCGCGTTTGAAAGGTCACAAAGCATGAATGAACGCCCAGCCACAGTGTGTCTGTGATGGAAAACGTTACTAGAACCCCAAACTGTCACCAAGTCGTCCTACACTTTGCCAGTGGGCTGCTGATATCATGTCCTGATAACCTGTCTCTCTTCTTCAGCAGACATTTACTATACAGCTATTCTAACATGGATCATAAGTAGGGCCCCGCTACAAACACTCTTAATTTGTCAGCCTCTTGGAATAAGCCAGGTTTTATTGTATTTCATTTTGTGTCTTCTCAGAGCAAAAGAAAGTACTGAAACTGTCAAATTAGTTGGCCATAGAGGCCCTGTCTACAGGACAAAGTTCTTAGCAGACCCTTCCACACATCTGCTGTCTTGTTCAGAAGATTCTACAGGTGAGTTTTCTGTGGTATTTATGTGTGTGTGTCTGTCTCTTTCTGTCTATATATGTCTCTCTATCTTATTTATCTCTCTCTCTGTCTCTACCTCTGTGTGTGTGTGTCTCTCTCTCTTTCTGTCTAGATCTCTGTGTCTGTCTATATCTATCTTTATCTCTCTCTAATTCTTTGTATCTGACTCTCTCTTTTTATGTCTTTCTCTGTCAGTCTCTCACTCTCTCTCTCTCTCTCTCTCTCTCTCTCTCTCTCTCTCTCTCTCTCTCTCTCTCTCTCTCTCTCTCTCTCTCCCCCCCCCCCTTTTTTGCTCTCACTAAGATAAGGATGACCGTCAACACCATATAAAAAGCTTCAACGCCTGTTGCAAGAAAAATAAAAACTGGAAAAACCCAGAAACAAAGACAGCAAATAGAACACCAGTTCAGCTTAAGATCACTGCTGGAGAGAGATTAAAACGAGCTAAGGGGTTTAAGTACTTAGGCAGTGTATTCACAGAGGATGGAGGATTGGACAGAGACGTAGAATACAGAAGACCAGCAACATAAATTACCAAATAGTGCCTCTTTAATGGTATAAATATAGCAGCATGCAAAGAATGGTTGATCTGAGTGGCACTTTCTTCACCCAAGTATGCAGAGACCACTTAGTAACCACTCATGCAACCTCAGGGAAGAGCAGCAGAAAAGCAGACTTCAGTCAGGAGCATGATCATCCAGATTTATTTTCGGTGACCATCATCGTGCCAGTTATCATGGGTGATTGAGTTATGAGTTGGGTTATCTTGGGTGATTTGAGTTATTAGTTGGGTTATTATGGGTGATTGAGTTATGAGTTGGGTTATCTTGGGTGATTGAGTTATGAGCTGGGTTATTATGGGTGATTGAGTTATGAGTTGGGTTATCTTGGGTGATTTGAGTTATTAGTTGGGTTATTATGGGTGATTGAGTTATGAGTTGGGTTATCTTGGGTGATTTGAGTTATTAGTTGGGTTATTATGGGTGATTGAGTTATGAGTTGGGTTATCTTGAGTGATTTGAGTTATTAGTTGGGTTATTATGGGTGATTGAGTTATGAGTTGGGTTATCTTGGGTGATTGAGTTATGAGCTGGGTTATCATAGGTGATTGAGTTATGAGTTGGGTTATCATGAGTTTATCATGGGTGATTGAGTTATGAGTTTAGTTATCTTGGGTGATTGAGTTATGAGTTTGGTTATCTTGGGTAATTGAGTTATGAGTTGGGTTATCTTGGATGATTGAGTTATGAGTTGGGTTATAATGGGTGATTGAGTTATGAGTGGGTTATCTTGGGTGATTTGAGTTATTAGTTGGGTTATTATGGGTGATTGAGTTATGAGTTGGGTTATCTTGGGTGATTGAGTTATGAGTTGGGTTATCTTGGATGATTGAGTTATGAGCTGGGTTATAATGCGTGATTGAGTTATGAGTTGGGTTATCATGTCATGGGTGATTGAGTTATGAATTGGGTTATCTTCACAGCACTCTGGACATGGCGGTAGGTGCTGAGATACCCCCTTCAGAATTTACATCAGTGTGTCTGGGTAATAGTGCCTGTTCAATGCTGGTTATCATGTTGTGATTGCCTGATACCACAGGGAGCACATGTGCCTCTCCTACTAGGCTTAGTCTTAGTTGAGGTTTTAACGTCACTGCCATCGGGGTTTCCCTATACCTGCTCCCTTCCTGTGAAAATGAAATATCCCTCAGTGTCTTATTTTAAAAACTAGTGAACAAACAATCAGTTGTGGAACAATCCAGAAATATGCGCTTGCAGTAAATGCATATGGCAGTTGCTATAGGCGCCAAAGCCAACGGTCGCCACCAGAAGTTTGTCGTTGCTGGGCATAGTTGGGCAAGATAAGTTGGTTATGCACACATAGAACCACCACATAAGATATTTCACCAGCTCATACGTAAACCGCTACCGCATATTGAATACCACTGCACAAATGAAAGGCATTCCACATAAAAAAACACAGCTCATGGGGCTTCACCAAGCACTAATTTTAGTAGCGCAGGCAGCAAAACCGTAGACTACCATCTATGTGAGTAAATTGCATTAGCAAAGCGCTGTCGGGAGAAAGCTAACTTTGAAGCTTAACATTCTGCCATACCTAATCCTCTATTTTGACCGACTATGTTGATCTTTGCTCCCAGTTTGTGCATTCTTAGCAGTGGTGATGACATGCTGCTCCCAAAATCCTCCAGTCATCCTGTCTCTCTCTCTAAGGGCGTTAACAACGTTGGGGCGATCCTTAGGTCGGCCCTGTGCAGCTAAGGCAGATCGAGTCAGTCAGTCAGCTCTTATCACAGTTGAGTTGGGTGGGTATGGCTTCCCCATCTCACTGAATCACCTGTCTTGAATAAGGGCTGTGATCTTGACTCGACTAAGGTTTTTGGATTTTAATTATAGTTACTCACATATAATGAGGGAGTCCCTGTGGCGGAGCTACTAGGCACTCGCTGCGGATCGGAAGGTTGTGGGTTCGCTCCCTGGCGGAGCCGGACTTTTTTTTTTTTAAATGACCTTGGCTCTCAGGTTTGCCCATCCTTAAGTTGGTACCTGGTGCAGTCCCGGGAAGTAGAGGCGGTCGGCGTGATGTTGACAACATCACCCATCTTGTGCCGATGGTTTATAAAAATATAGGTCTAGCTCTATATGCTCTATAGGCCTAAAGGCGCGGAAAAGGGTCTTTTACTTTTTTTTTTTTTTTAACTTATAATGAGGAGCAGCTGATCAGATCGTTAGAACCCTGGACCCAGATTAAAATCCCCAGAAAGGTTATGAGTGTTTTGTTTTGTTGGGAGACAAATCTTAAAACTCTAACCTGCACCCTGTGTGCACCAACACTAGCCGTGCGGCACTAAATCCTCAGACTCAAAGACGACCCATAACCCCCAGACCCACAACTCCCACAACCTAGACTGCAAAAGTAAATACGGGCACGTTTTGGCAGTAAACACACAAATTTAGCTGTTTGGATGCTCAAGACATTCCCTTCTCTACCCTTCTTTTTTTTAATTTTGACAATTCTATGTTGTTTGCATTTCAGTGCGTTTGTGGGACCTGCAGACACAAACAAATGCAGTCATTTATAAAGGTCATTCGTCCCCCGTATGGGACTTGAACGTGAGGTAAGATATTATATCAGAACAGTAATCTTATCTAGTTAATAATCAGAAGTTGTGTGAAGACTGTAAGCCTTATATTGCCTAGGAAAGTCTAGTTAATAATAAAAAATTGTGTGAAGACTAAGCGAATATTAAGAAAGCGAAAGTAATGGTTATATCAAAGAAGAAGATAACTCCACGTTGTGATATCTCAATTGAAGGAAAAAGACTTAACCAAGTCAATAAATTCAAATATCTGGGAACAATCTTATCATAAGATGGTAAATGTGTGACAGAGATTAAAAGCAGGATAGGTAAATTGAAAGCTGCATTTCAGAAAATGAAAAATATCTTATACAATAAATCGCTCTCATTTAATGTCAGAAAGAGGGTGCTAAAATGTTACATAGAACCTGTTTTGCTGTTTGGCAGCGAATCTTGGAATGTCAGTGAACAAATTAAGAAGAATTTGGAAGCAACAGTGGTTTCTGAGACGATTGTTACGAATACCTTGGACGGCCAGAGTAACTAACAACAATTGCTTGAAAGAAGCTAATGAAAGTAGATCTCAATATACAACAAAAAGAAAGAGACAAACACTGTTCTTTGGCCACATAAAGAGAAGAGAGACATTAGAGAATTAACAAACTTTATTTTCAAAGGGTTACAAATTGGGCACGCAGGCCAGTCTGACATTCAGCCCTTCTAAGCACTCGTTTTTCAGAGTACCAATGCATGTTATCTAAAATTCATGTTATGGATATAGAATAAAAATGTACATTATAGAATATAAAACATACATCATGTGTACACAATCTTACACACTCACATTCTCATACATGCACACTCATATACAGACATACCTAACACATACATACATACATACATACATACATACATACATACATACATACATACATACATACATACATACATACATACATACATACATACATACATACATACATACATACATACATACATACATACATAAATGCATCTACATATATACACATACATAAATGCATCTACATATATACACAAACAGAAAAGACACACACATACATATATGGACATATATGCACACACACATTCCATACATACACACCTTCACATGCATGCATGCATGCATACACACACATACAATCACATGTACAGACACCCACAACCACCCATTTACACTCACATGTAAACATACATACACACATATACATACACCTACATCTTTACACACATACATGCATACTTGCATACATACCTAAATACACACACGTACACCCACATACTTATACATCTACAAATGCATACACACATCCACAAACATGCCGACACACATTACATACATACCCACACATGCATGCTTACACACATATACAATCACCCATACAGATAGATACTCACATACATACATACATACATACACTCATGCATACATACATACATACATACACTCATGCATACATACATACATACATACATACATACATACATACATACATACATACATACTTACTTACTTACTTACTTACTTACTTACTTACTTACTTACTTACTTACTTACTTGCCTACATTATGTACACACATACCCACAATCATACATACACTCATATACAGTCACACATACTTACAACATATATACATAAATACACACACATACAAACTTAAATATACATTCATATATCCACATGCATGCACACACACACACCCACAATCACACACACACACCCAGATAATACATACATATATACACACATATAGATACTTGTATACATACATACACATACATAATACATACCCACATACTTACATACATGCATACTTGCATACATTTATAAATACACACACATCCATATACATACACAGCTACATATACCGACAACCATCCATATACATGCATGAATACACATACACCCATATACTTACACAGCTACATTTACATAGAAACATTCTCATACATATACAGACATACATAATACATGCACCTACATACATACATCCACATGTATACATACATACATGGACTACATGTACATGCATACACACATCCATACACACACTCACATACTTGAAAATAGGGGTAGAGGCAGACCAAGAGAGTGATAGTGGATGGGATGAAATAATGGCATGGAGGGATATCATCAGGAGAGCTGTTCCAGGCAACCTGGGATCGTGATCTGTGGAGACGCATGAGCGCCTATGCCAGTTGTCAGGGCACATGATGATGTGTAAAGACAGTAAGCCTTATATTACCTAGAAAGGACTTGGTAATAATCTAAAATTGTGTTAAGACAGTAAGCCTTATGTTACCTTGGAAAGATTAGTTAATAATTCAGTTTCATGAAGACAGTGAGACTTATGTTTTAGGAAAGATTAGTTAATAAACCAAAGTTCTCTGAAGACAGTATGCCTTATATTTCCTTAGTAAAGACTTGTTAATAATTCAAAGTTCTGTGACAACAATAAGCCTTGTATTAACTAGAAAGGACTCATTAATAATCCAAAATTGTGTTAAGACAGTAAACCTTATGTTACCTTGGAAAGACTAGTTAATAATTCAAAGTTTCACGAAGACAGTGAGACTTATGTTTTAGGAAAGACTAGTTAATAATTCAAAGTTTCATGAAGACAGTGAGACTTATGTTTTAGGAAAGACTAGTTAATAATTCAAAGTTTCACGAAGACAGTGAGACTTATGTTTTAGGAAAGACTAGTTAATAATTCAAAGTTTCATGAAGACAGTGAGACTTATGTTTTAGGAAAGACTAGTTAATAATTCAAAGTTTCACGAAGACAGTGAGACTTATGTTTTAGGAAAGACTAGTTAATAATTCAAAGTTTCATGAAGACAGTGAGACTTATGTTTTAGGAAAGACTAGTTAATAATTCAAAGTTTCATGAAGACAGTGAGACTTATATTTCCTTAGGAAAGACTTGGTAATAATTCATAATTGTGTCATGACAGTAGGCCGTACGTTGCCTAGGAAAGACTAGTTAATAATCCAAAGTTGCAGGAACACAGAATTATTTTGCCCAGCAAATACCAGTTATGTGGAGTCAGTAAGCCCAGGAACGACTATTTAATGATCCGAGTTGTAGTTAATAATCCAAAAGTTTTGTTACACTGGCAGCAGAAATGGAATCCCTCAAGTCAACCCTTCTGAATGGGTACCCTGCAGGATTCATTAAACATGGCTGTGCGCCAACAAAATTACAGTGCGCAAAAAAAACTACAATTATTCATCAACTCACTTGTCGAGTTAATGACACAAAAAAAGCATCTTCAGGACCAAAAAAAAACTGTGTTGGCCAAACCTTCTTTGCCACTGTTCCAGTAGTGAGGTACAAGACCACTCCTATCCCAACGCCACCTATTAAAGAGCTTGTGTCTCCTATACCAAATGCAATTGTATTTATGAATTTACATGTAAGTGCCAGTTGACTAACATTGGTTGAACAAAGAGACAGCTTGGAAAGAATGGTAGAATATATACATGGTTACATGTACAGTTCACCTCTTCTATAGGATGTAATTTGCTTGATTCCAGAAGTGTAATTGACAAGAACATTGCTTTCCGTGTGACTTACCACACACCGAACAGGCGAATGCTGAGACTAGGCGAAGCTTTAACAAATAAAATCAACAACCCCCTCTGATGTAAACAGAAGGAATTTGTAGTAAATTTGAAGTTACCCTGATAAGTCACGTGACTGCAGTAAACTTTTGGCAACTAGACGAACAGCTGAACGTGATGCAATAAGAGAAACCATTCGTGTCTCAGTGGAATTTATCTAGTTTTTGTGCTTCACTGTAATAATGCACCTGACGAGATACAGCGAAATATGTCTGGCATTGAATTGTGCAATCTATTGTTTGTGTCCTCATTATTTAAAATTCATTACTAGCAAACATTGTTTTGAATAAGTTTATTACCTAGAGAAGACCCCTATCATTGCTTTCTAGATGTAAAAAAGATGAACATGAACTGATGTATGACAAGCTGGATGTTGTGAGGGCCCATTAGGAGCGAGTGAACAGTGTGGAGGCACAGATGGATCATTACGGTCTGAGAAGAATGGTGCTGTGAGGAGTTACAAGGATATCTGGCCGACGCTCGACACTCAGGGCAAAGGCAAGACGGATATTGCAGCGATCTTCATTGTTATTAATTGCTGGCTCGAATGAGTCACCGCATCTTTCCATTCACCAACTGACAAGAACGAGAAAACATGGACGCTGGCAGACGTTCAGAAGTTACACGTACCGTTTATTTTCACTCGCTGATGTTGCAGTCAGTAAATGTTCATACACGACAATATCACTCATCGATTACTTATTCAATGCTCTAAACAGTCAATCATACCTTTGTAACATCGTAGAATTCATCACACAACTTAGCGAAACACAGTAATTCCCTCCATCCAGACGACAGTCATTCACAGCTGGCCACCGTTTCCGTCAGCCGCTATTTTATGCCAGGTAGGCATTGGGAAATCACGCTATTCAGATGTCAACATTCTTCCTGACTTCTTCACACGTACACCTTCCCTTGGCCTAAACGAGACTGCCTCACAAACCTTTCTTCGCTATTATATAGCCCTCTGATCTGTCATGTTCTTGAATATTCTGGATAATTTCATTCTCACGAATTCCCCCCATTGAAAGTCGGGTCTGGCCCGTGATAATTCGCATTTCACACGAATCCTGCCAGTCAACCTTCATGGTTCACGTGAACAATCATGTTTCACATAAAACCTGACTTTCAGATGTCTCTCATGAAACTCAAGACATAAATCTCGTGTTATCTCAGTCAGTCAAAACATTCGCCTTACATTTATTACTGACTTCATCTATCGGGCATAAATTAATGGGGAGAAAATGACTCACTACATTCTCCCCCACCCCAAAAAAATGTTTTACATTTTCAATCAATCAGGTGTGAACATTTCACTGAACATGGTGATTCTAAACCTTTGTAGTGAATCATTTTCGACAAGTTCATTTCCAACCAAGTTCCCTTTACCTC